AAAAAGAAAGAAATAAGGAAAAAATAAAATAAAAATAAAAGAATAGAAAAAAAAAAAAAAAAAAGAAAAAAAAAAAAAAAAAGAAAAAAAAAAAAAAAGAAAAAAAAAAAGAATAAATGATTTGGTAAAAAACAACAAAAAAAAAAAAATGAAAGGAGAAGAAAAAAGAAAGAAAAAATAAAAAAGAAGAAAAAATAAAAAAAGAAAAGAGAAAAAAAGAAAACAAATAAAAAAAAAATAAAAAAAAAAAAAAAAAAAAAAAAAAAAAAAAAAAAAAGAAAAAAAAAAAAAAAAAAAAAAAAAAAGAAAAAAGGAAGAAAGATAAAATAAAAAAAAAAAAAATGAAAAAAAAAAAAAAATGAAAGAAAAAAAAAAAAAAAAGAAAAAAAAAAAAAAGAAAAAAAAAAAAAAAAAAAAAGAAAAAAACAAAAAAGAAAAAAAAAAAAAAAAAATAAAGAAAAAAAAAAAATAAAAAAGAAAAAAAAAAAAAAAAAAAGAAAAAAAAAGAAAAAGACAAAAAAGAAAACAAGAAAAAAGAAAAGAAAAAGGGTGAAGAAAGAAAAAAAAAAAAAAAAAAAGAAAAAAAATAAAATGAGAATAAAAAAAAATAAAAAAAATAATAAAGAAAAAAAAAAAAAGAAAAAAAAAAAAGAAAAAAAAAAAAATGAAAAAAGAAATTAAAAAATGAAAAAAAAAAAAATGAAAAAAAAAAAAATAAAAAAAAAAAAAGTGAAAAAGGATATTGAAAATAAAAAAAAAAATAAAAAAGAAAAAAAAAAAAAAAATAGAAAAAAAATAAAAAAACAAAAAAGAAGATTAATGAAATAGAAAAATAATAAAAAAAAAGAAAAGAAAAAAAAAGAAAAAAAGGAAAACAAACTAAAAGAAAAAAAAAAAAAAGAAAAAAAAAATAAAGAAAAAAAAAAAAAAAAAAATTTGAAAAAAAAAGAAAAAAAAAAGTGAAAAAAAAAATGAGAAAAAAAAAAAAAAGAGAATGAAGAAAAAAATAAAAAAAAAAATAAAAAAAAAAAAAAAATAAAAAAAAAAAAAAAAGAAAAAAAAAAAAAAAGATAAAAATAAAAAAAGAAAAAAAAAAAAAAAAAAAAACAAAAAAAAACAAAAAATAAAATAAAAAAATAAAACAAAAAAAAAAAAAAATAAGAGATGAATTTTTATTTTTGTAGGTATTGCTCTATCTGGCATTGGTTATGTAGTGAATTGAGTTAAATTAAGCGGATTACAAGTGTTTTTGGCCTTCCAAATTTGAATTTTATTATAATACATCTAAAACATATGAAGTGTTATGGCTTGTTCAATTTCTAAGCTTCACATACAGTTTTTTATTTCTGTGTGAAAATACAGGTTAATGCAGTAAGTTAGCGTAAGTGGCATTTAATTCTCACTGTGCAGGGCAGTTTGTTTAATGTGTGCTGTAATTTTGCCACGGTTGAGCTGTTGTAAATAGTTAAGTAGTATGGCAACATTTGACGTACATACATTTGTCGCTGCTTATACTTTTGAGTGTTCTACACAATTGCAGAAAAAAGGTTCTGCTGTGGAGATAGCTGCGCATTATAATGTTCTTGGTCTGCCAGCATATCTCCTAAAAGAGACCTAAAAGCAGCCCTTATACGAACGCTGGTATAAGGGGGTTGCTGTAACTTAACAAGTGTCTGCAGAACCTGGTCTAAATGGCGAGATGGTGTGCCGCCGGTGTTCTTTGACTGCAGGACTTACTGCTTCTCCTGTGAGGAGGCAGTTGAGCGGCAAGCTGGTTAGTGTAACTCCTGGTCCATCGAGGCGGCGGAAGACACTACTGCCAGTTTGATCCTTTCTCTGTTGAGTCCACTCCTGGTTCTAAGCTGGATGCGTGGTTAAAGTCTGTCTTGCTCACTTCCAGTTAGAAAAATGAGGAAAAGTAGACAGGGAATTACAGCTTCGGAGGCGAGTTAAGTTAGAAGTTGGAGGTCAGAAACGGCAATTAAACAATGCGACAGTTGGGTTTCAAGTCCAAGTTCAGTAGGTAAGTTGCCACCAGCAAAATCGGCTGTGGTTTGACATCAAGTAAAAACATTCCTTTGGTCCCTGTGTTCATGAGAGTGAGTGTTGAAACTTATTTTCACTGAGTTTGAACACAAAGCTAGTTAGGCTTGGCCCCAAAGATGTGTGGGCCGTGTTGCTGCAGTGTAAGTTAACCGTTAAGGCTCAGGAGGCTTGTCCTTCACTTTCTGCTGCAATGCCTGCGTGTATAAAAAATGTAAGAGTGCTATTCTATGGAGTGTATGAGTTAGTGCCAGATGCTTACCCCAAGGCTTTAGAAACTCAAAGAAAATCTTCAAGCCAGTCAATTTTTGACATGGTGTGTTCGCCTGCAAAGCCAACATGTAGCTCTGTGTGTGATCGTTATTTCTTTGGTCGAAGAGTTTTAAAAAAACTGTGTGCCTAATGTATAGTCACTATTCAAATGAACAAAAGCTGGTGCACCCACCTCTGCAGCAAGGCTCTCTGTCTTGGTGGATAAATTTGCACTTACGCCTGCCACAAATTTCAAGGGAGAGTGATTGTTTTTTTTTTCACAAGCCTGGCCACTAGTTGTGCTGACTGTCAAGTTTTAAAATGTAAACAGCAGTCAACCAACACAAAAAGCCAAAGGGGTAGAATTTTAAAAAAAACATATCTCCACCTCCTCTTAACCAGCCTTCAGTCCGCGTAGGCCCGATAATGTTTAAAACATTTAATTTCTCAAGGGTTTGTGTCCCTTACTGGGAGGCTGAAGATCAGTGTCCTGTCACCATTCTGTGAGATACTGATGGTTGCCCAGTTCATTTATCCTTTCCTAGTGCCTTGCATCTGAGTAAACAGTTCTGCTTGCAATGGCGAGTGCTGTGGTTAGGGGAATTGGAATGAGTTTCGTAACACCGCACCTCTTCACCGTGTTCATTGTACAGTCCAAGCTAGTCACTGGGTTTTTCTCCGTAGCTCTTCAAGACTCCTTTCCAATGCTGCAATTGACCTTATGTGGGTAATACATAGCTGGAGGGAAGGTCTACCCAGTACCCAAGGATAATGTTCTTGTGTCGGAGCATGAAGACTTGACACGTTGGGTCTGAGCTCTACTCATGAGCTGGACCACCAATATGTTGGTTTTCGGTTGTCTATCAATTGATTGGCGTTATCATGAATTAAGAAAATATGAATATTAAAAATATTAATATTAAATAATAATTTTAAAATAAAATTAAAGTCCTCGGGGCACCAGCCTAAACTAACAGGCAAATAGCCATATGGTTTTAGTCTCAATTTATTACATTAATACTGGAACTCTGATTAACAATTATCTTACCTAACTATAACCAAATTACCAATATCAACAGTAAGTTGAAGGATTGGAATTCTACAAAGTTAGAAAGGTTGGCAATATTCACGCTTGTGCAACATTAACACACACCCAGTAGTTATATCTTAAAGACATTCATTTACAATGGAGCGGAGTAAAAACACAATGTCTAAATCTAGGATATACAGGTGTGAGTGTGTGTCTGTGTATGTGTGTGTGTCTGTGGGACACAGACAAAAGGCAAGAATGGGCCGATTCAAAGTGACCACATGACCTAAACAAAGAAGACTACACAAGATGGCGGTAAACAAAATTAACTGTATGACTGACCACAACCTAAGCAAACATTACACAATCAAGACATCACAATCAACAAGTTCATTAACAAAGTTAAGACTTCTGCTGCTTAGCTATGCTGTGCTGTGCTATGCTATGCTGGGAGAGGTTAGGCCCAGTCAGTTAACGTTACCCAGTCCTTGGAACAAACAAAGAGGGCCCTTTCCAGTGTTTTAAAGTCCAGTGAGTTGGGTGGCTTCCTGTGGAGTGAAGTCCTGTCTGGCTGTGGTTGTTTTGCTGTTATCTCTTTGTTCTCCTCAAAGAGTTAGCTGTTCCACGCTTACTCTGCTGTGACTCCTGTTGCTTGGAAAATCAGCTGGTTGGCCTTGTGTTGTAGCTGCTGATTCTGAAGAGAACCTCGTGTTAACTCTGTTAATCCGAAGCAGGTCGCTGCGTTGAGGAGAGAGCGTTTTGCAGGCTGGCTGTGAGCAGGCCAGCGAGAGAGCTGGTTTCTCAGGTAGCAGGGCTGACCTGGCTGGGCCTTGTTTGCCTTTTGAAGAGTCGAGAGGAGAGAACAGGAGCTGCTCTCCAGAGCAAGCAAGAAGAGAAGAAAGAGAGAAGAGGGACAAGAGATCTGGTTTTGTTTGATGACACCCTAGGGGTCACATGTCACATGCTGACCCACACTGGCTGGCCAGTGAACAGTGAGGAACTGTGGAGTGTGAGTTCCTTTGTCCAGTGGAGCAAAGAAACATCTGTCTCTTTGAATGATGAGTCCCAACTAACAGAAACATGTTGTTTTTGGTGGTGGGTGACTAGAGGTCAGGCCTGTAAGCAAGCCAGTGATCGATTGACACTTTGTTCAGCCCTGGCAGAGGGTGAGTCGCCTCTAGTGGTGGGTCATGAAATTGCCTGTCCAAAGCACCAGGAGAGTGTAGCAGGGACTGAACAGGGGAGGGTAGTAAAGAGCGGACAGACTTGAAGGTGCGCAAGTGCATTCCACAGGTGGGACTGATGCAGGTGGCATTGGCAGACTTATGCAGTTGTGGAGAAAGCGAACAGGTCTGTGTGTTGGTACTGCTGACTGACTGGCTGTTTTTGCAGTTTCCAGTAATGGCATGGTGTAAAGGTGAATGGGGAGTTCGTCATGCTGCCCTTCCAGGTGTTGGTACGCAGTGGCCAGGAGCGACATTGATTGACCTTTGCAACAACTTTTCCCTCAATTCTCCCTCTCAGCACTGTACTGTAGCCTTACTTTATTATTTCAGTGTGGTCTGCTTGATTTTGTCTTTATGTGTGCGGCCCTCTGCCAGTTGGCCGTTTTATACCCATGTGGGCAGTAAAAACGTTGTGATGTTTTCAGCTCAGTTGATCATAATGTTCAGTGTAATTGTGATATGTTGCCAGGTGACTCTTTCTGAGATCAAACCAGGGGTTTGTTTTTATGGGAGGGGGTGTTAAACCCTAGTGGTCTCTCTCTCTCTTTCTCCCAGGGGAGATGGGCTGCATGCAGTGCACCCACTTACTAATAGCGACAGTAGTCATAGTGGACAGTGAGAGCTGAGTCGGGCCCCAGTGTATGGCAGCAAAGATCCTGTGTGCATGTGTCTTACTCCTTGCTGTGAAGAAGGGGGGTTGGTGTCCTGATTACCTGTTTATTTTTGTTCCTGATTCCCTGGTTGTTAAGTATTTCTCACGTTATTGGCAAACCAGCGCTTTTAGTTACCTTTTTCAGTGATTTTGTTGTGTGTGAGTTTGATAATAAAAGTCATTAGGTTTTTCCCTCATACCTTATTTTGCTTCCTGATCTTCCTTTCCCCCGGGACACATTTTTACTTTTGTTACTTCCCCTCATCTCCTGGATTACCTTTTGGAGCATTTTCTGATTGGTGAATTACCTTACCAGTGTTTTCCAGGTGTTACCTTTTTTCAGATAAAGAGATAAAAAAGGGTAGGTAGGCAGCCAGACAGACAGAAAGCATTGTCACCATGGCAACCTCTGACTTCAGGGAGGGGATACACAGCTCAGTCAAATTACCTGATTAGAGAGTCCTAACCCTCTAATATCTGTGGTGTTTATCAACCACTTTACTGACATTGCTATCAAAATCCCGCTACAGACTGCTCCAACACTGAATACAGAAATGATTTACACAACTCTACACTGTTTTCACTGTAAAAATGTTTCAGTCAGTTGGCAGTTAATTTCAGTTTGTCATCCTAACTGACACAGAAACACACATAAATACAGACAAGCAGAGAGGCACACAGACAGATTGAAAGGCACACAAACACACACAACCAAACACACGTACACACACACACACAGAAAAGCTGTTTACAAGTTAGTACTCATAGAGGGAGACAACATGACAACATGTTTCAGTTCTCAGCTTTTGCAGTTAATGGAGTTCAGCTTCTCCAGTCCCACATTTTGGCATCTAACTTTTCAAAGCACTGTTCATCGGTTAATGTGAGCGCTTTTTCAACTATTTTAGTATTGTGTCAGCAATCTCCTCTCAGGTACAAGTTTTGATTGTACATTTCTTCTTTCTTTGTTTTTGTTTTCAACCATTTTGTATATATATTATACAGTATGTATATATATATAATATAATATATATATATTTTTTTTTTTTTTACAGTTTGTGCTGTTTGTTGCACATTAAATTAACTATTCACTTCAGCTATTGCTTCAGTTACTTCAGCAATGCTTCAGCACTTGCTTCAGCTTCTTCAGCAGTTGCTTCAGCTACTTCAGCAATGCTTCAGCTTCTTCGCATTGCTTTAGGGATCTCATTCAGCCTCAGCTTTCACAGGCATTTTCAGCAGGAAATGTATATTCCAGTATTTTATATTCATACTTCTTTTGCCTTTCCACGGTCTCTAACTACTCCTTCATACTTTTTCGTACAGAAACCATTCTACTATGAAAACGTTCATCTTGTTCTGTAGATTATCGGATATGTATACAACTTTTTTCTACTATTTCATAATTTTCAAAATGTTAAGTTTTTTCTGTGATTTTTTTGCCATTCAAATAAATAGAGAGACTGTTTAAATCCTTGAAAGTTTCAATCTGAGCTTCAACTACTTAAGCATACTTTCAGCTACAGACTTCATTCAAACATTAAAATGGTCACAAGATTTTCATCTATAAGTTATTATACATTTTTGATATCTGCAAAGTTTTTGAATTATCACAGTTTAAGCTTCATGCTTTTTTCAAATCATTTCTGAGTGTATAAGAATGTGTATTACATGGAATGTTCAGGGCTAGAATGATGACATCATTCCTAGAGTGGGAGAAGCTCTGAAATTTGTCTGAAAAGAAATCTGTGATACTCATCCTTACGAACACATATTTGGGTCTTCACAAATAATTTCTTCCTCATTAGTAGCAATTTTGCCCTGTTTCATAAAGAGTGTCTACCTTAGCAAGAGACTAACAGAATTGAAATGTGACCCTCCAAGTGATGCAGAACCGTCAAACTCTCCCATAGACTGCAATACAAATTCAGGAGCTGATTTCCGGAGAAAACCATGTTGGGCCTGAACATGTGGTCGGCCAAAAGCAGGCCTGCTCCGGCCTACTTGTAACCACTGAAGCCTGATATCAGAGCCTGATTCCAGCCCCAGTCCTGAACAAAGAAAGAGCGCCAAAAACCGCCCTATCAGACTCCAACTCCCAGCAGGCTGCGGTTCACACCCTGAGTGTGAAATCTGGGGGAGTCCCAAACTCATGCTTCTCATTGGCAGAGATGCAGGGGACCCCGGCGACTTCGCCGTGACACCACTGCATCTATAAAGGTCAACTGCACACACCGACCATGGCCTTTCCATTGTAACTGCAACAGAGATAGCCCACTTTCTCTGTGAGCCAGTCTACTGAAGGAGGTAACCAACCCTGTGCACGTGTGTTTTCCCCCACAGAGGTTGAAGATCCTCCCCTCACTGGACGAGTTGAGACTCCCCTCCCTGTGTTTAACTAAACACGAAACTACGGATCCAAAAAGAGATTTCTGCCGACGCAGACCAACGATCTCTCCTGCCTGCAGAAGGAAGAAGGAACTTCTTCACGGAGACATGGACAACCCGACACTGGCTACCCTTCGATTACGCCGACGCTGCTGGGTTTCTTCGCTGCCAAACAAGAAACCAGCTGCCGCAACCCTCACGAACGAGGACAGCACCGTCAGAACCACACCAGAGAACCTGTGCTGGATTTTACCGACGGACCGGCGGTCCAAGTAAGAGGTTTACATCTGGGCAGAGATTGTATTGATTGTTGATGTTGGTTTTTAATTTGCTGTGTTTGAACTGTGCTATCCTTGTTTTTCCATGGACCGCTGAGTCCTTTGTACAATACAGTTAAGAGTATTGAAGTTACTGCGCGCTGCTTACCGTTATTCACCACTCCAGATTAACTGTGTGTCCCTTTGCGGGACCACTGCATGTGCCACCGCGGGTGTGAAGCGAGTTGCTCAGTCCTTTAACCGATCAGACAACGAGCATACAGCTTTACGGCCGTACGTGCGCTCTCTGTGGGCTGAATAACTATTGCTCACATCCCACGGTAGCTTGACTCTGCCGCGAGTCGTTTGTCTTCCTTTGTTACACCCACACGCACACTTACATATAGACATATCATTCATCATATATAGATCACCGCCCTTTTAGGTTGTCTACACAAGACATAATCTCGTCCGCCATTTTGGCTCACGTGGTCTAACACCCTCAGACCTGTCCGCCATCTTGGACCCTGCGGGACGCAATCTTTACAGGTCAAGTCCGCCATCTCACCTCACACACACGCACGCACACACACTTACTTATACACATAGACACACACACGTGCCTCATTTGTATGGGTTGATTGTATAGCTGTTAGTTGGGTGGTTGGTAGTATAGTGTGATTAATCCAGACTGCGGTTAACTTTAATTGTTGTGGAGGTTATAATAAACATTATTGTAGTTTAAAGAGAAGCTCTTGTAGTCATTATTGTGTATATTTATTGTGATCTGTGACTGATTGAGAGGGTCAGACTTCGAACTTAATCCTTCATTAGATACTCGCAGTCACCCCAGAGACTCATTACTCTGAGTGAACTATTAAGGTTATGAGACTATAAACTGGTTTGGTTATTGTTCCCGATTTCCGGGATGTGTCCCGCATTATTAATTAATATTAATTACCATAATAATACTGGTTAATAATTTAAAGTAATTTAAAGCTAAATCAATGATTTTTCAGCGATATGCAGAATTCATATTTAATAACCAAACATGCTCCTACCGGACCCAGACCAGAACTGACCCTATTTTGTAACTTGCTCCTAATTCCACATTTTTGGCTCTAGAAACACCAAAACCACATAGAGGTGTTCAACAGAGTGTTGTGGCACTGACCATGTGATAATTTTGCTGATATTATGTACTGTTTTGTATTGAATGGCAGGAGTTTGAGAGGTTCGCTGACCCCTTTCTCCCATAGATTTGCATGAGCTCTGTGTCTTCAACAGCGAGACGCTCTATCTTACACACACACACAAACACACACACACACACGCACAAACCGGAGACACACACATATACACAAACGCGCGCGCACACAGACATGCACACACACACAATCGGACACATAGAAAGGTAGACAGACAGATGGGTAGATAGACAGGTAGACACAGTTTGATTCAGGAAACATTGGCTGTTAATTTCAGTTTGAAATCTAATTGATTCCACATTACATATATTCTAATTGGTGGATTACTTTTGGATCTCAATGCGATTGGTCGATAACCTTTGGAGCTCATTCTGATTGGTGGATTACCTTTAACCAATGTTTTCCAGGTGCTACCTTTTTCAAAGAGGAAGACAGGTGGGCACCACCTGTTGCATTGTCACCATTGCAACCTCTGAGTGGAGGGAGGGGGCACACATCTGGGTCAGATTACCTTAGAGCAGGCATCACAAAATGGCGGAACGCGGTCCGGGCACGGACCCAGCGACGGTTCTGCCCGGACCCGTGAAAATTATATTATAATTATAATATTAGGCCTAATAAAAAGATAAATCATTCGTATATGCGCAGCTAATTTAGTTAATACGACAGAAACGTCATCAATAGCCAAGCCAATCAAATCAATTGTTTACCTTTCAGCACCAGAGAATAGAGAGAGAGAGAGAGAGAGAGAAAGAGAGAGAGAGAGAGAGAGAGAGAGAGAGGGGGGAGATGAGTGAAAATGGCTTGCTCAAAAATGAGAAAAGTAGACAGTGAAAACCAAACTTTTAAAGATGAATGGACGGACATGTTCGTCCTGCCTGCAGCCAGTTCTAAACCTGTGTCTCATATGCTGTGAAACTGTGGCGTTAATAAAAAGTACCAACGTTAAGCGTCACTATGAGACCAAACACGGATCGTTTGATGAAACATACCCGTAAGGTAAAATGATCGAACTGAAAGCACAGTATGACCGGTCTACCCATGTCCTCACATGCATTTACAGGCCAGCAACGTGCAGATGAGTGTTCACTTAAGATTGCGTGGATTTTGGCGCAACACAACAAAGCATTCAGCGATAGGACAGTGGTGAAGGAGTGCTTCAATGCGGCTGCAGAGACTTTACTTGACGGTAAACAAAAAAACGACATGTGTGAAAAAATCAAGCAAATCCCATTGTCAGCTTCAACGACAACCAGAAAATCTGAACTATTAGCAGAGGATGTACTGGCACAGCTTGATGCAGCTGTTCAAAACGCAGTATGCATATCCTTAGCCATTGATGAGTCCACAGATGTAACAGATAATGCCCAGCTTTTGGTGTATGTGAGATTTCTTCACAAAGAGAAGAAAGAATGGTGTGAGGACCTGTTGGGTTTAATGCCACTTGAGACACACACAAAGAGGATAGGATATATATGAGGGATAAAGGAGATGCTCACAAAAAAAGAAAGATTAATCTGAAGCAAGTAGTCTCAGTCACCACGGATGGTGCACCTGCCATGGTTGGTAGAGAGAAGGGGGCTGTGGCACGGATGAAACAAGACAACCCTGATCTCATAGCGCTACCACTGTATCATCCATCAGACTGTTCTCTGTGGCCATTCTGTCTGAAGAGTTTTGCTGAAGTAATGAATACCATGATGAGACTCATCAACTTCCTCAGGGCATCCTCATCCCATCAGCATCGACTGCTGAGAGAATTTTCTGAAAGAAATGGAGGCAGATGCAAATGACCTACTACTCTCACAACAACGTGAGATGGCTAAGCAAAGGGAATGCACTGGATTGCTTCTGGTCCATCCAAAAGGAAATAGCTGCTTTTCTCACAGCAGCTCAAGAACAAAAAGCAACACAGTTTGCAAACTTTTGCAAGATAACAAACAAGATGGATGGTGGCGTGGACATCACAGGACACCCTAATAAGCTCAATTTAAAGCTGCAGGGTCAGAAAAAAATTCTGTCTGTGATATGATGAAAACTAACCACTCCTTCCAGATGAAGCTGGACATTTTCAAAGAAAGATCTCCAAGGAGAGTGTGAGCACTTCCCACAAAATGCAGGAACAAATTCAGGGTAAGAGAGACATTTTCCCCTTATGTCAGCTTCAAAGACTCACAGAGCTATGTGAAAAGTTCTGTTCATCGGAATTTTGACAGCTTCAAACCTTGTGGAACACACAGCTTCCTCTGCTAATCAAGAAAT